TTAACCCGCATATCAGAAACAAATGACACTTATGATCCAGTTACAGCATTTTTCCTGTCCTAACCTACTAGAAACTAGTTGCTAAGCAACACCTTAACTTTGAAACGGCATGTTTTGCATGGAAGAAGAAAAAAAAAAAGGTGAGGTGTACTGTTAGCTTTTTATTCTCCTGCTTGTCAGCAAAAGAAATCCTACTTTACCTTGATGGTGAATGTAAGTTTGCAGTCTGTATGTTATGCAGCAACAAGAGTGTATATAATGACAAGAAATATCTCTCTGTTGAGTTATCAGCAACATACAACGTGAACTCATATGAGCCGGATATTTTAAGTGAATCAAACCATACACCACTATTTAGTGAATTAAGAACATACAACGCGACCAGATTAACCCGCATATCAGAAACAAATGACACTTATGATCCAGTTATTTTTAGTGAATCAATAACATTCAATGGGAGCAGAGTAGTCCAATTCTAGAAACAAAAGACTCTTACGTTACGGTTCTATTTAGTGAATCAAAACATACAACCTGACTACAGTAGACCGATACCACAAACAAAAGGCTCTTATGATCTGGTTCTTTTTAATGAATCATTGCCCAATTCCAGAAACAAGTGACTCGATTTAAGATACAATTTTCTCTAATCACTCAACCTGAAACATGTACAGCATTAGCAAAAAGAGACTTTATTTCATATGAATTCCTTGGAAATACAAAATGCTATCTTTATAGCCTAATGGAAATAGACCTTCCCAAATGAATCGGAATCGAATGAAAGTGAAAATTGGACATGCTAAATGACAAATGCTAATAAGTGTAGAGCCTCTGCACACAAGTGAAATACTGTTTTCCCAGTGGTGCAGAGCATGCAGGTGAAATGTCACAGCTGCGTCACAGAAGCTCCGATGAACCACACCACACAAACATCTAGTGGAGGTGTAATGAAGCTGCAAGATGCATCATTTAGCACTAAGGAAATAGTTCAAGTCTGCTGCTCAGAATCATCACATAACTTTTTTGAGTGCTACTCAAGGCCTTCTGCACACTATCACTTGCATACTGAAATGTAAGTTCTGAATTAAAGCTTCTCACTTGAGGGCCATCTGCCCTGGTTTCTCCTTCTCACAGCATTGGTCCATTGAAGTGACAGCTTCTACCATCTGCATTTCCCCCCTAGCCCCCTTCTGGGGGATAAAGACACCTTGAACTTCGCTTAACCTTAGACAAGATTCATGGGGTTTTGGTACATTAATGCTTTGCGACATTCAAAAGCTAGCAAGCCGACCAGCTGAAGTTATCAGATAAGATATAAGGCTGCCTGTTTTTGCCTCATCATTAAGTTCTGCATCACAGGAAATAAATAAAAAAAATAAGATGATGATGATGATGATATTTCAAAGTCTTTCAACACATAAGTGTAATGTGAGAAGAATGAATTTCAGTGCAAAACACAACACAAAGCCATGCTTACATATTAGCCACACCTAATAATGAGCAGACAATTTTAGTTTTTCCCCCCCTTTTTTTTAAAAAAAAATAAGATGATGATGATGATGATATTTCAAAGTCTTTCAACACATAAGTGAAATGTGAGAAGAATGAATTTCAGTGCAGAACACAACACAAAGCCATGCTTACATATTAGCCACACCTAATAATGAGCAGACAATTTTAGTTTTTCCCCCCCTTTTTTTTTTTTTTTGAATTTTGAGGCAATGTTTGTAAATGTGTATTCAAAAATTGTATTTAAACTAAATGAAAATAATTTTACATTTTTGAGTATACTTAACTACTGTCGGCTAATTTCATTTAATTTTAATCATTTAATTTAATTTTAAATTAAATGTACATTTAGTGTCTACTTGACTACTGTAGGCTAATTTAATTTAATTTTAATAATTTGATTTAATTTTAAATTAAATTTACATTTTGTATCTACTTGACTACTGTAGGCTAATTTATTGTAATTTAGTTTAAAAATCACAGTATATAATGATTATGCCACATTATTTAATTTTATTTTAAATTAAATTATGTTTTCATTCATTTTTGTGTCTACTGGACAACTGTAGGCTAAATTAATTTAATTTAATTGAAGAATTCACAGTATGTACAGTATGGCATAAACATACAGAATCACAGTATGTTTATGCCACATTATTTTAAATTATTTATTTTAATTTAAATGTACGTTTTGTGTCTATTTGTCTATTGTTGGCTAATTTAATTTAATTTAATGTAAAATTCCCAGTATGTAGTAAGTGGCACGTTTATGATACATTATTATATTATATTACTATATAATATTATATATTAATTTATTAAATGTGCGTTTTAATTGATTTTAATATGCCACATTATAATGTGTGACATGGTGGTCGCAATCAAATTAACATTATTGAAATGAGATCAAAGTGAAAGTGCCAAAACTTCAAAGCAGTAGGCCTACAGTCTGAATTTATGCTGCATTATGGAGAATGTTAGGCTTTACTTCTCATATCTTTGCATTGTAAATGATGACGTCCGTCTCAACTCATACGCGCAGTTTCATTAATTGTCATTCATTTCCAAAACCCACACTCATTAACGAAATTCTTCCCCCATTTCTAAGCCGTGTGTGCCATGTTAAAGATAAGCACAATGGAGCACTAAGTAAGCTGGCTCGGAACCGGTTACACAGAAGGTGGTATTTTTTCCGAGCACTTGGCTTCCCTGCAGCGATCCTTTGTCTTGATCTAACTCATAGGTGGTCATGTGACCTGTCTCCAGTCATTCTATTGTGGGAGTAAAACAGCCAGAAGCCCATTTAGACCTCCAGAAAGTGAAAGGCATGGCAGCAAAGTGTAATGACCTGATGGGCCACCTGAGGGTTTGCCTCTCTAATCACACAATGAGATCCGCAGCAGCGCTCCTGCAAATCCAGTTCAGCTCGACATTATGGACAGCTCGTTTCCTGAGGTGGTGCAGGAGAGAGGAGAGTTTAGTAAGTAGAAGGAAACTTTCAAAAGCGTGGTCAACTATTTCCAACATTTGGACATTTAACACCCTGTTGATCCACTGTGTGTTTCCTTACCTTTCTCTAACTTTAATGCACAGAATGCCAGTTTTTGATCTATTATGCAACTTGAGGCATTTTTTTTTAAATTTAGCCCTATATATGTTTAAAAACTATTTCTATATATATAGTGTGAGAGAGTCACTAGACACTTCTCAGTAGTTATGGGCCTAGTGATAGAATTGATCACTGCTGACACCTTGTGTTCAGTGACAGACTAAAGGAAAGCACTTTTTCTAAAGCTGCCAGTGCCTGTTATTCTCTAAAGAGGAAGTTAATTAGGTTTTGAAAAAAGAGAAATGGACTAAATAGTTTAAACTTTGTAATCAAAACTGTGATGCCCTCATTTGTTGATTAAAATCGGTGAATACTTGGCACACTGACAGTTCTTTTTCTTTCTCTTAAAGTGGTCATTATACAATGCTAAAACGCCAGCAGATTGGTAAATTATTGTAAGTGCTTAAACTTTTGCCGTTTAAAGTTTTTATTTTTTTAAATGAATACTTTTATTCAGCAAGGATGCATTGAATTGATCAAAAATGACAGTAAAGACATTTATAATGTTACAAAGCATTCCTATTTCAAATAAATGCTGTTCTTTTGAACTTCTTGACTCATCAAAGGATCCTGAAAAAAAGTATCACGGTTTCCACAAAAATATTAAACACAAGTGTTTATAACATCGATGAGAAAAAATGTTTCTTGAGCTGAACAGCTTGTTGGACAGTCTCCATTGTAAGCGTGCAATGCCTGATTTGATAACACCTATGCCATTTTAAAAGACACCGCAATGGAGACCAACTACTAAAGGCAGTAAAAACGTAAGTGTGCATCGACAACACAGGAATAAATTACATTTCAAAATATATTCTAATAGAAAACCTTTATTTTAAATTGTAATACTATTTCACAGTATTACTATTTTTACTGTATTTTTGATGAAATAAATGCAGCCTTGGTGAGCATTTAAAAAGTCTTAGAAACCCCAAAATCTTGAACGGTAGTGTTCTATTTAACAAAACAATGCATGTGTGTAGTTACCAGATTATTATATTAATGCAACATATATTTTTTCAGTGAACTGACCTAACAAATGTTTGCTTGACACAAATTCTAACATGACGCTTTTATTTTTTCAACATTACACCATGTTACTAAAAACGGTGATGAAACACAGAACTATGAACAGACACATAATTGTTGGACAGTCTCCATTGTAAGCGTGCAATGCCTGATTTGATAACACCTATGCCATTTTAAAAGACACCGCAATGGAGACCAACTACTAAAGGCAGTAAAACGTAAGTGTGCATCGACAATAGACATTCGAAATCCAAGTAAATGAAGTGGCTTTGTGTGGAACTTCTAGTGTTGTTCAGTAATTACAACCTACTGTAAGAAGCACCAACAGTGTACAGGAACCCAAAGCCAGAGCTTACCAGCAAGCCTGAGCTATAGATATTTCATATTAGTCCACAATATAACACTGTTGCTATTAGCACGAATAGAAGTCATACATCGCAGTGCTCTTATCTGTAAAACTGAGTAAATTATGTAGAGTTAGTGTCCATGCATTTTTTTTTAATGAATGATGATGAACATTTAATTTTTGCTAGATGTTAGAAATGTTCATTTAGAGATTGTTAAAGCTGAACTTTTACATATCGACACCAAGAATAAATAAAAATAACATGATATATGTACAGTGCCATACATCGTTTTGGATACAATAAATTAAGTTTATAGTGTAATAGTGATGACAATAAAAAAAAAAAGTGATGTTTACGATTAAAACTTTGTGTAAATATATAGGCCTATTATTATAAACATCTCTGGGCACTTTAAGAATTTGAAACAGATGTAAGGCGTAAAGAAACGGCTGGAGCAGTTTATGAAATCTGATTTGTTCACATATGGAGCGACTGTAGCATGATATATGTACAGTGCCATACATTGTTTTGGATACAATAAATTAAGTTTATAGTGTAATAGTGATGACAATAAAAAAAAAAAAGTGATGTTTACGATTAAAACTTTGTGTAAATATATAGGCCTATTATTATAAACATCTCTGGGCACTTTAAGAATTTGAAACAGATGTAAGGCGTAAAGAAACGGCTGGAGCAGTTTATGAAATCTGATTTGTTCACATATGGAGCGACTGTAGGGATGCGAGAACCTTCATCCTGTCTTTATTATGTACACCAGCGACGCACAGAGACTACTGTATATGTGAGTGAAATAACATCTGGTGATGTGGCGTCATCTTCCTTGCTTATCTTGAAATGTCTGCATAGCATCTGTATTAGATTAGAGTGAACATTACTGGCGTCTCTGGAGGGCGAGGGGTTCAGTGTCCAAGTCCAAATGTCCAAATGTTAGAAAAGGGACACTTTCTTCTTCAGGTCGTTCCGTTTCCATAGTGACAGACGATCAAATTCTGTGATGGACATTCCGAATAAGCTCTGGAATTCCTCTGGAGACAGATGCCGCTTTTTAATGAAAAAATAAAAACAATCAGTCAGTTTATATGTGCGGTCAGAGGCAAAATTCTATAGAGGACAGGGGAAAACATCCCCAACAACACTTCTGCAAATATTGCATGTATTTATATATTTATTTGTAGTAGGAATGTTTGGAAAAATGTAATGATAATAATAATAATAAACTATTTAAAAATATTAAAATGAAGTAAAATATTAGTTTTTTTAAAATATACTTGTTTATTTATTTGTTGTAGGAGTGTTTGGAAAACATAATAATAATAATAATAATAATAATAATAATGAACGATTCGAAAATATATAAAAAAAATCCAAATATTTAAATATTTAAAAATATATAAAAATGTATTAAATATTTATGCATTTTCATAAAAATAATTTACTGCATAGTTTTAATAATTGTTATTATTATATTACGTCCCAAAACACGTAATCACAAATAAATAAATAAGCAAGTAGTTTATTTTATATGTTCATTTAATATATCCAATAATTTTTAATGTTGTTATTATTATTGTTTTCCAAACACTCCTATCACGAATAAAAACAAACAAACAAATAAATTAATATTTTCCCAATTATTATTATTGTTATTATTATTATTATTATTAAATGTAATAATAATAATAATAATACTTTAATAATGATTTATTATTATTTTTGTATGAATAAAAACAATAATATAAATTATTATTTTTGCTAATTCTTTTGAGCTTATAATGGCAAAGAAATGCAAGAACATTAAAATCTTTTCTTTCTTTTTTTTGTTAAACTAAGGTTAACTAGTGTTTTTTTTGTGTGATTTACCTCTAATCTGGTCCTGTCAACACCTGGAGGAAGCTTACTGCGCCCTCTGTGGGTCACAACCAGCATTTCATATGGATATATCTGAAGAGGAGATTTCATAACATTTTGGTAACATTATATATGCGGTACTCATCCTTTTTGATTGATTGGACACAGCAAACAGGCCGTCACATATTAACAGCTTGCTCAAAGGAGGATGTTTACTACACATACAACCTCCAAAGTTTTCACTTTGATATTGTCTTCAGTGACACTGCCGTACTGAATTTTGCATTCAATGGATGCGAGGCTTAGAAGCAACATGGATGTGAGTGAATGTATGGCATGGGGTTAGAAGAGAGAACCAGAGCATGAAAACTTTGGAGGGTCTGGTAAGATCTGCCTCACCTTCTGTTCCAGAATACTAGGAAGAGAGCTTCCTCTGTCCATTCTCCCACTCTGTGAATCGCCATTCTATGAAGACGCCACCCCAGCCCAAAAAAATACCCCCCCCCGGGACAAAGGAGATCAATATGAGACAGGTACATTTAGAGAGGAGGGTCTCACTACATCCATAATAATGAATCAGCCTCATTTGACTCATTATTAAGTGTGCAAACAGTGTGTGGAGATCAAATGAGTCTGAAGCCATGAAAGAATGTAGGCTAATGTCAGGGTAAGGATACATTAGTAGCAGGAAAAGGATGTGGTTTCTATGTCAGAGCTTATTAGCTGCTGCTGGCATATTAGAAAACTCAACAGCCATGCTTGTGAAATCGAATAAACAAAGCCATTTTACCTGTACACCTGAGGAACATAGAAAGAAAAATAAAGATGATAAAAAATACAGTAACATTAGAAGTCATTAAATCAAATATTTTCTTATATTCGTGTTGATTTCAATTTAAATTATCACTCAAATTGTTATGCAGATAATTGAAATTATAGCAGAAACATTTATGTAAATAATGAGAATTTTAAAGCAGCACTATGTAACTTTTGGCGCTCTAGCGGTTAATAAACAGAACTGCACACATCCCGCGGAAGAACATTCCAACCGGAGCTACTTCTCTAAGTTTATGTCTATGGCGATTCACGCAGGTATGTGTTACTCCGCAGCGGTGACGACCCGACCAGGCTACAATAGTCCAAATATAAGTACTTATTATAAGTGTACTGTAGAGAGTCGGAATAAGACAAAAACGCGGTTTGGAAGACGAATTCATGATGTACTCGCTCATTATATACATTTAGCAAATTTTGAACACAGAAAAAGTTACATAGT